TACATTTAACGCTTTTTTTTTTGGTGATGTATATAAATATATAATTAAGCAAATAATCTGACGTCTTCAAAAATATACTTCGTTACTCGTAGTATGGTAGGATCGCATGAAAATTTTTGTTTCGTATACTTAGCTAGCAGTTTGCTCAATGAATTAGGTGATTACCAAAATGTAAGGACGATTCTCTAAATAGCTTAATCCGAATTTCTAAAAACAATAATAACACAAAAAGAGAGAAAAAACAGTGGTAAAATACATCAGACAAAATGAGTTAAAAGAAAACATTGGAACTATAGGAAAAATAAAACAGCAAGAACAAGATTGTCCCAAAAAATGGAAGCAAGAATATGTGGTTAGTGGAGGCTCCAACAACATAAAATGGGTAAAAAATGGAGCATCGAATATCTAATTTTATTTTATCAAAGGCTGTAAAAATAACACGGTCATCAAGGAAAACTTAACTGCATGTTCATAAAAGTATAAAACGACCTTTGTCTCTTTAAACGAACATCTAATATTCCCACTACACTTTTTAAAGGGTCGTTTTCTTTAGTTATTTCTAAGCTAAAGAAGAAAACTACCAAAAATGTGTTACCTGGATTAGACTCCGTATTGTTGAAGCTTTTTGATCGAGTTGTATACTTAGCTTTTTGCAATACTCACAAGTGAGGGTGTTATTGTATGATCTTGGGTTTCTTTTGTGAGGTGAACAGGGATTTTTGATTTGGTGCGTCGTTTTAATTGATTTTTTAATGATAAATATATTAAAATCCGTTGGTATTGCAACTCAATAAACAACTTTCATATTATAATAGTTAGCATTTTATGCAACTCGCCAACTCGTGTTTAAAACTCTATTAGCCAAAAAGTTAAAATCTGACCTTCAAATATATTGTGACAAGCATTAGTTATTGTACATTTGGAAGGAAAAAATTAGAATACTTTACAACTTAGAGGTATGGCTCCATTGTGAAATAATTTTGAAATTGAAACTATCTTGTAGTTCTGATAACTAAATAAAACCTAATTGTTACTCCCTCCGTCCCTAAATTACATACCTCTTTCTAGGGACGGGGGGAGTAAAGATTAAAAGTTCAACGTCCTACATTAAAAGCAAGAAATTTCTTATTGTACATTTATAGAATAATGTACATACACCGTAATAGAAGTGTCATATATTTTGTTCGGAGAAACTTTTTAATATTTTACTAGGTTGCTCCATCTAATTATAATTGCAAAACTTGCAATATTTATTGAATTGAGTTATACTGGTATAATTGTATACCTTAATAATTGTATTTTATGGAAAAGTTGCAATTAACACAATACAGTATAATCGAACAAAACATAAACTCCGTAAAAATGGCTATAATTCTGGTGAAACAGTACGGTATGGTTGGTGTAGGAGAGAGAAAAAGGCGAGAAAACATATGATGGGCTTTGCACTTTTGCAGGGGTTTTGCCAGACTTGGTTTTGTACCTTGGGAATCTGCTTGGGCTTGCGCATAAAGTCTTCCTTTTATAGTCCATTATAACAAAGCTGATAACAATATTATTTATATACAATTACTTTACTTAAGCACACAACAACAAGTCCCGTAGCTCAGTTGGTTAGAGCGTTGGTCTTATGAGCCGAAGGTCGCGGGTTCGAGCCCCGCCGGGACTATAATTTTATCTGAATTTTTTTTTAAAAAATATTTATCATTCTAATTGAAGCATCAAAATAAACCTTTGAAAGGACGTTGTACACAACTCAGAAATTTTTTAGTAGATGAGTGATGTGTCTTATATGTTTGAAACAAACAAATATAATTCATTATTGGTCTATTTTTCTATGTTAATTGTACTAGGAATTAAGGATTTAAAGCCCTTTGTTAGTATAGTTCACATCTAGTCATTTTATTATCGACTAGTACTTCATATACATTAGTCAAGAATTTATCAATGAAAGTGTTGTGTTATCAGTCTTACCATCATCTACTTAAAATTGTCTTATGCATCCTTGTCCCTCTTAAAATCCTTTTTCTATTTTAACGACCTTTCATGTGCAATACCTAACGTTTAGTTTATAGTCCTAGATCTTTCCTAGTAATTTTATATCATACCTATATGGCTATATTCAATTGGTTTTTTTAGATATATTACCCCTTTTTTTTTAATTTTTTATTTTACAACGGCCAAAGAAGGAGACTAGCTCCTAACAGACTCGAGATCACAAGATATATAAACAACAAGAGAGTTTAGCTCTCTTTACTAAACTACAGAATAACTATACCGGGGAGAGGTGGTACAACTGTCATAACTTGCCAAACAATATAAATACAAGGATTGACTAATTCCGTCATAAACGCTAGCCAAAAGGTGCTCAAAGTTTGTTCCTTTACAATTTTTGGACATGCACCTAGGATATACTACGATACACCTTACTCCGTACTATTGTAGTCTTCCTAACTTGTACAACTTTAGAATTCTTTGTGAATTAAGTGGAAAAGCCCATGATGTAACACATGATATTTTTGGGACCAAAAAAAAGCCCATGATGTAACACATGAATAAACTAAACACATGATATTTATGCGTTTTGGGAGCAAATGGCCCATGATGTAACACATGACTATTCGGACATACAACATACATGGTCGTATAAAAATTGGTAATTCGTATTGTTTTTGTTGTAGAATTGGTTAGTGTAAATTGGGTTTTCGTCTTGGCTTATTTCATGCGAGAAGAATTTGCATGGTGATCGCTGAAAAAGGATAACAATAGTGTCACACTTGCACAATTTTCCTTACTATACTCCATAATTTTAGGGGTAATTTCCTCTAATAAAATGCCTATATTTGTCATCTTCGAGATAATTGACTATGACTTTTACGTGTTTTGCTAAAACTTAAAAACATCATACGATAAATTTACATTTTTTTTAGCTGTCGTATATAATGTACACAAACTAAAGAATTTTCCCAAAATTGTAACTTCTTTATATAGTTATAAAATACTCGTACTAATCGTTTTACTCACAAATTGTGTGTGATTACCTATTTACCACGCTAATTTAAAGATAGTAGAGACTAAAAGAGCATACGTAATTAAGTTAGTTTAATATCAGTTGTCAAAAAATTAATTGCCGTTTTCATTGGCATTGATGAACACTAATGGGCCTTTTTCAGAATTGGTACTATCTTGCGTATTGCGAATAAGCAAGATCCTTCACAAGAGTTTGGGCAATAATTGACTTAATAATGGAGTAGTTAAATTGGGTACCTTCTTTAGTTCTCAAGTCAATGATAGTATCCATTCATTCATAAAACACATGGTTTACTTCTTTTGTTCCTTCACTTCAAAGAAGAAGAAATAAAGTCTTCTTTCGTCCCTAATTAATAATCCCTAATCAATGAAAGAGTTCATGTTAAAGAGTTGTTAGCTCATTATAATTGCACATGCATGTTTCTCAATATAGACACGAGTTTATTTATACATCATAATCGATCATATTTATAACTGAAGTTGATAGTTTGAAATTTTGACATCTTTTTTATTATTATATTATTTATGTATATATTAATTAGTGTAATAAACTAAGTCAAAATGAAGCATGTATTACCCTCTCTCTTTAATATATTTAGGTTTTTGTTTGCCCAATCATGGCCTCGTTCTCATGGGACTATAGTCTAGTTAAACATATTGACATATTATTCAATTCACGTCTGCAATATACAATTAAACTACATAGTTGAACAAAATTGTAATCAAAGTGACACAAAATGAGGGCCAATTGCGTAAATAGTTTTCTATATAAAATAATTGTAGCTTTGGTTATGAATGATTCCACCTTATTAAGTTTTAAAACTATTATTACCATAAAAAAGTACTTACCGAGTAGTTAGTTCCTAATAACCTTTGTAATGGTATAATTAGTATCACATTAGATAAATGATATAAGTAGTAACCTACTAAGTTTGTAGCTCCAATAGAATAATAATAATTTTTGTAAAAAATAAATAAAAACTCATAGATGGATCTAGCCTCTTCCATATGAATGATTCCACCCCACTAAGTGTATGCCTTTCTTTTGCCATCCAATGATAATTATAGATCAAGATTAGCGTCAAATTAGCATAAATAATCACATTTAGGCCCACATTAGGGACACCCTGGACAAAAAACTAATTATTGTGATTAAGCTCACTAATATGACAACTTCTAGCCAGAGAATCCCTGCTATAAATGTAACGTGATTAGCAAAACTTTATTGATTTCTTCCTTGTTTTTTTATTGAAACTTTTGATTCATGCTATCACACCGACTCCCCCAGCTAAGTAACAGCCAAGAGTTGAAGCCTTAAGATTGTTTTCCAATTAAGTCACAAAAACATCACTATTAGCATTGATATACAATTTGTAATGATTGTAGAATATGAATAGTAGTAGTTGTGCTTGTGCACCATCCTATCACTATTTTGGAATTCGTAGTCTCGTAAAATCGTATTTAAAGTCTCTCTGTCTAATTATACAACTCATGATAAACTTAAAGTCGGGAAAAAAAAGTTTAAAAACACTGGCATATGCCTTTCTATATATTCTCGTAAAGTCGTAATTTATTGGTGCTCACTTTTAAAATAGTCTTGTTAGATTATATCAATAGTCAATACATATGTTTGACACTTTTATATCAGCACGTCTAGTAGTGAAAGTGAATTATTAACCTTTTTAATAATTGCTCACCAATTAATGAAAATCGCTTTGAATTTGAACCATACAATAAGATACGTTATACAAGTATTACTGATATTATTTCGTTCAAATATATATTCATAATAATTTCTTGTTATATTCTAAAAGAAATAATTTGAATGAAATTAATAAATACTTTTAAAATTAAGAGTCCAATAGTAATAATGTAGAATAGACCAGAACAGAGTTGAGAATGAATGTTTATTACTATTTGAATCAGAATTTTCCCTGCCTTTAATGAATAGCAGGAAAGGAAGAATATACAGATAACAAAAATAGAGTAGTAATTAAATTAATTATAGACATTTCTTCTTATTTCTGAAACACATGCAAACTAAAAGTTCAAATAAAAGATGATGAACTATGCAGTAATCTGTCGAGAAAAAAAAAAAAAAAGAAAGAAAGAAAAAAGAAACCCAACACAAGCTTACATCCCTTCTCCCCATTTTACACAAATCTGCAAGAAGCAAGAAAAGAGAGAAGAGGAAACATCTCTAATCTATTACAAGGATTGCTAAAGCTATTGCTAAAGCTGATCACTCGCGGTCTCTCCTCCTTTCATTCTCTCTTTCCCATTTTTGACCTCTCAATGCGGTCTTTCTCACTGATCTTTCGGCTAGATCAGGAGGTTGAAGGTTCTGATAATGTCAAAGCAACCTTTTTAGGAAGAGGCAACTTTAGACATATCTCTACTTGATCGATTGTATTTCATGTGACTTCTAACAAGTTGCCCGGCTGCAATTGCAGACATCAAAGAGAGCTCCCCGGCAAGAACAGAACCGGCAACAACAGTGGCCAACAGTCTAGCGTTTCCTCCAGCAGTCTCCCTGTTTGCACCCTTGACTCCCAGCAAGTTAAGGCAAGCTGATTGAGAAGCTAGTTGGGTACCGCCTCCCACTGTTCCAACCTGATACCAGTAACAAATGGTAAGTATCAGGAAAGTTCCAAGGTAAATACATAACAACGATGCAAATTACCAAGAAATTTTTACCACAAAAATCGAAACGTGGTTCACTAAATTGAAATGGAAGGACCAAACCGACAGTACATTAATGGACCCATAGACACATGCAATGAAAATCTTGGTGTAGACCCGCAAAGATGCCACACAAAACTTTGATAGCACTAGCAAGTCGGCATTGTCACATGTGATGCAGTCTGGCAAACTCGAAAATTAACCACAACTAAACCAAACGTTCATACTTTTTACAAAGAATGTTGCCCTACCATCACTCAAATTCCACCCCAAACAAAAAAATCTTTTCAAGAAAGGTGGTCCTTTATGAGCACTAAAACTTGAATTCCACCGATACTCCAAAACATACAACTCAACTAATGGCGTGGCTTGCATCTAGACAAATCAAGCACATGAATAGTTTCACCTCATACGCGTTGAGTTTTACATCTTTAGAAATGACTGAAGTTTCAAATTTGGATTGGTGTAAAATCAATGGACCACCGTAGTTGAGTTTGGTGTAAAGTCATTTAATGAATATCCTTTAAATGTAATAGATAGAACCAATAGCAGAAAACCAACCAGAAATATCATAACGTTACATAGCTTAACAATATGCATAAAACAGACAGAAATGGATTCATGAAGCAGTTCAATTACCTCAATAGAGGGCATGCTAACAGAGATATGTAGATCCTTGCCGCCATTAACGGCTTCCATCATGGTAATACATTGAGAACTCTCAACATTTTGTGCCGGATCTTGACCAGTGGCAATGTAAATGGCAGACACGATGTTGGCGGCATGAGCATTGAATCCACCAAGTGATCCCGCCACAGCAGATCCAGTAAGATTCTTGAGCATGTTAAGCTCTACAAGGGAAGCTACATCGGTCTTAAGGACCTTCCTCACAATGTCTTCCTTGATGACAGCCTCACAAACAACAGATTTTCCTCTTCCTTCAATCCAGTTTACGGCAGCTGGCTTCTTGTCTGAGCAATAGTTTCCTATACATTTGCAAAAGGTTCTCAACTTAAGTTTTACTACTAAAGTTCCCTAAACAATTGTAAGTCTAACTAGTTGCGAAAAAACGATAATAATTCGTTGCGAAAAAATTATAAGCTCACCAGAGATGCCAATAACATCCATGTCAGGGAAATCACTCTGGAGATACTCCAACACATTCTGAACACCTTTGGAAACCATGTTCATTCCCATGGCATCACCAGTTCTGCAAGTAAACCTAACATACAAGTTCTTTCCAGCAATAGCACACTTAACCTCCTGAAGCCTTGCAAATCTACTTGACCTATTTTTACCCAACAAACAACACAAATATCAGCCCAAAGTTACAATCAAAGATCATCATATACAAAATTCAAAAAATTAATGATCCCATTTCCCAAAAATTGGCTAATAATCCCATAAAATGGAAATCACAAAGTTTAAATCTTTCTTCCATAATCTAAGGTTGGATTTAAAAATAAGGATATAGTAAAATAAAAATAAGATATTTTCCCATAATTTAATTGAAAATCCACAAAAACATCAACATCAGCATAGTCAACATTATTCAGAATTTACCATCAAAACAGTTTGAATTTCCTAAATAAATACGGAGTACTAGATAGCTAACCTATCAATCATTATCAGATGAAAAGCAACAAAATTTACCCAAAGAAAAAAAAAATGAACAAAGCAAAAACAAAATCAAAATCAAAATCCAAAAATCAAATTGAAATTGAAATTGAAAAGACTTACTTGTTGAAAACAAGAGAAATGGTCTCAAAATTAGCAGGATCTTCAAGAAAGAACTTAAGGTCAGCAGCTCTTCTAGCTGATCCAAACCTAACAACAGGAGCTCTAGTCATCCCATCCTTCAATATAACACTAGCTGCACCACCAGACATCATAATTGCCTTACACCCTCGATTTGTACTCGCAACCAAGCATCCCTCTGTCGTCGCCATCGGTACCGAAAACTCAATCCCATCTAGCAACAATGGCCCGGCAATTCCCACCGGAATCTGGATAAATCCAACCGGCATTTCGCAGCATTGTCCTAAAATCGATTCATAATCGAACCCGTCTAATGGCAACCCTACAATGGATCGTCCTGTTGTCCTCTGAAGCGCTTCTCTCCTAATCTTCGCAGCTCGGAAACAATCACCAAGCTTCGATTCCAATGAATACGAAGGGGTTGAACCTTTAACAACAGATTGAACAATTTCTTCGTCTTCTGGGGTAAGATCTAGGGTTTTGGGTAATTGATGAACCTCCAATTTTTTCTCGGGTAAAGAGATTGGAATTCCGCAAGGAATTCGCTTATCCTCTTTGAGAATCTGCTGTTCATTACTCACTCCTTCAATAACTTCCTCATCATCATCATAAGATGATCTGGGTGAAATAAACGATTGAACAAAATCGATTCCGAAGAACCCTAGAAGGTAAATGAATGAAGCTAAGAAAGCAACAATAGCAGAAATCTCGGAAAGAGAAACAACATGAAGAGGGGTAGAATTTCTGATCTTCTCCCTCCATCGTTGAAGAAGAAAGTAAACAACCCCAAAAAATAGGGTCAGAAAAACGCCATTAGTGATGTAAAGAGGAAGAGGTAAAGCGTCGGAAGCTTTTGGCGACTCGTCTCCGGCGAAAGTTTTCCGGCGAAGTTGTTTCAAATTCGCCGACGCCGGTGGCAGTGGTGGTTGTCGTCGCCGAACATCCATCACCGGGAAATTAAAAGGAGCGAGAAAAGGGTAAAATTGGAAAAGTGGGGGTTGAGGAAGTTAGAGAATATACTACGTATGTGTTTATTTATTTATTTTGATTTAGAAATAAGAAGGAAAATTAAAAAAAAGGAGAAATGAGTTTAGTCATTTAGTTTGGGGGAAGACAGAGAAAAAGGGGGAGAATTTATAGGGGTTTATGGGTGGAGGAAGAACGAGGGAGAAGGGGGAAGTGGCACGTGAGACTCGAGGGTGGTAATATTGTGCCAATTGTTAATGTTGTATTTTTTGCACGTGCTTAGTAGTGTGTATAATAACTAAATTGGTCCATCAATTCTTCAAAAAAAAAAAAAAATTATTGGTCCATTAATGTGATGATAGTCATGGTACTATGGTAGTGTGAATTCAAATTTGTTTAACTAAATCATTTTTGAGATTTTTTTTTAATTTTATATATAACTCCGGTTTTTGAAAGTCCGACTCACTATTCATAAGGTCAAAATAAATTTTTTTTGACCACATTCTATGACCTATACAACATACCGTAGTAAATGAATTAGTATATGAAATCTTACTAGATTCTACTTATTATAAAATTTTCAAATGTGAAATTTTGATAATTTTTACTTATACCTAGTCGAAGATATTCATTGGAGACCACGCAAATGCAAAGTGAGTCGAACTTTCGGGAACGGAGGGAGTATATGTGTTGAAGACATGGTTGAAATGCATTAATTAACCGATTAAACCTACTTTCTGGTATAACCAATGATAACTTTAATTGTTGATGACTTTAACCTAAAAGAAATTGATATTTGCAAATAAACTAAACATTGAAATAATTCTAACAATTAATTACATGCATGAGCGACCATGCATGACTACGTTTAATCATATGTGTAATTCGATAAAAAGTGATGGGTATGACCGTATGAAACAACCATATAAAAGATGAGATAAAGAATTGTACAATGGTTGCAATTTTAATTTTTTATTGATGGAGATTTTTATTTTATTTGATTTGATGTGATATGTTGTAAATTAATTGATTACGCGTCCCTATTCCCTTCCACTCCATCTAATTTAAAGATGAACAATAATATGAATTGAAGTATTACATTTTGCAAGGGATGAACAATATATTCAGTATTATTATCTTTTAAAAGAAGAAAAAGCACATTTCCTCTCTACTTCTTACACATATACATGTTCCATCTGTCTTAATTAGCTTCTTCCTTCCATTTCCATTTCCATTATCATTTTTCTTTTATTTTCATCTCTTTTAATAAAAAAATGTATTAAACTTGATTTACACATGTGTTTTCCCTTGAAAACATACTACATACTTCTCATAATATACGAGTATTTAAAAAATAAAAATAAAAAATTCTAGTCAAACCATATATATATAAAACATAATTTTTTATATATGATACTTTGTCCTCTTGGATCTTATTAAACTATTCTTATTATTAATGTATTATTGATATTGTTTCTAATTTTTCATTGATTAACAACAAATTATACTAATCTACATTTTAGCTAGGAACCCCCACCTTATTACTTCAAACCCCAAGTTTTGCATTTTTCAATGTTTAAAGAGTAATATACAACAAAAGTAAAAAAATTATAGGAACCCCCACCTTTAAAAACCATTCTTTGATAAATTCTAATCCCCACATCTTAAAGATATAATTATAAATTGAATCTTATTACTAAGAAAGTCAAGTCTTAACTTAAATTACTTGATAGTTGATACTATATTACTATATATCTTATAATTAATTAGTCCAAACTCTCCAACGTTTATGTGCTACTTGGTGCAACTGAAATCTAAGCTCCAAGAAAAAAATTACCATGCACGTACACCAACTATGACAAAATTTCCATGCACACCAAATATGACAAAAATATGACAAAACTTCAGTTTTTGTCAATTTGTTATGGCAAGAAGATGATACGAGTAGTTATATATGGAAAAATACAAGTTAATCTGCCAAATAAACAAATTTTTGTTAATCTGATGTCATTTTTGTAAATATATTGAAAAATCAGGGTCATTTATTCAGTATTTTTGATGAGCTGTCCAATTACTGTTTACAACTTGTTTTTACTGTTTGGTGAGGAAATTACACATATACCCATCAACTAGTATATGAAAAGACGCATCATGCATATACCCCTCCAAAATATATTGTCATAGAATAATAACGAATTATACAGGCCTTTGGTCATGCCAGCAGCCCGCGCCTACAAATCTACAATGCGCAATATAATCAAAAGTTGAAATTTTAACTTTCAATTTGTAACAACTAAGAGTAGTATACTTTTACCATATTTTTGTTTTAAATTACTCTGTAAAGAGTAGTTTTCTATGGAGTATATAATATATTAAATTACTATGTCGTACCATCTCAATTGTTCTAAATTCTTCCCTATTTTATTTTATTTGAATTCAAGTTTTGCTCTTTACTTTATCCTTTTCGTGACATCATTGATTCAATTTTTTTGCTATCTCTTACTATAAACCCTAATAATCTAGCTAAGCCACCATGAAAGACATAATCGTATTTCTTCTATTTTTTTAATATTGCAACATTTGCACTAATGCATTATTTAAGTTATACTACTTTGATCTCTTTAAACTACATACGAGTATATTATGAAACATACGTAAGCAAGGAAAATTAAAATTATGTGGAGTTTTGTTAAATTTGTCTCAATATATCTTATCAACTATCTTATAATTATTTAAGTTTTACCATTATATAAAATAGAGTACTTAATATTTATGTTATGCTTTGAAAAATGTAACCTCTTTTGATTGCAATATTTATCAAACGAAAGAAGTTTAAAATGATACTTCATACGAAGTAGGTTACTTCTTTTAATTGTCAAAAGAATTATATATTATACTCCAATATATCTACACTAGTACTAGTATACACTGTAGAAATATAAATTTTGTGGTGGGATCGATTACGAGATTATTTGGATCATGGTTGGTGATGTTCTAAAGTTAAGGGCGGAAGAAATAGTGAACTAGTGAAGCGCACTTTGTTGGAAATTAGACGTTTAGACATGAGAAGATTCAAGACGGACTTCTTTCGAAAATAAATAAAAAAAAAAAAAAAAAAAACAGACAAGTTAAATAAACATAGAAAGTTGTAAAAATATATATATAAATATAAAAAGACAAAGACATCATAGTCTCGTCCTCTTTCCTTTTTAACGACTAGAACCGTTGCATATAGACATTATACGAGTAGTTGATTCATAAACTCAAGATCATACAGTCACACTACAATGAACTACTGTATAATTGGACTCCAATGGTCTTGTCACAATATAATGGTAAACTCCATAAAATGACACATCTTATGGTATAAAAATTGTCATATTATGGTAAACATATGCTCATAAAATACAAAGTAGTTTATAGACTCATAAAATAAAGAACCTGTACATATAAGTAGAATTTGTGTAATAATCATGAATAAAGTATAATACTGGTAATTTAAATGTATGAGTACATTTTAAGAGACTTCATAATAAATACGGATTATTAGTAAGAATTCTTGTGTATATACTCTAAGGATCAGTTATATTTGTTAATGAGAGAATAATTTTTTAGCAAGTACGTACGGAATAGATTAGAGATTATTGTTTAATTTGATTGATGTGAGTATTTTAATTTTAAGTTGAAGCATTTCACCAGGTTTTTGTTGCACTACAAAATAACCTAAATGCAGAAATTAATTAATGATATAAAAATAATAAATTGACTGAAATACCCTTTTTCAAAATGAAAAAACTGATTTGCCATTTCACCCGGTTTTTTGTTTTTACATTTTTTATTTTGCAATTCATTATATTTGCCAATTTTTTTCATTTCATTCACCTTTTTTTTTTTTTTTTTTTTTTTTTTTTGCAATTTATTTCATTCCACCATTTCCCTTAAATTCTTCAATTTGAGCCCTAGAGACAAAGAAGTCGTTCACCGCTCATAAATCATCCGGTCTTAGGTTTTTTTTCATTTAATTTTTTAGTTGAATTGTTATAATTTTTCATTATAATTACCCCGACTTTGTTTTTCGGGGGTACTAGAGACCCCCGAAAATCTTAGCCGGGGGGTACTGAAGACCCCGGAAATCATAGCCGGGGGCTATTGGAGACCCCCGGAAATCCTAGCCGGGGGGTACTTGAGACCCCCGGAAATTGTATAAGGGGATGCTAGAGACCTTCAAAAATCTTAGCCGTATAAGATGGAAATTTTATGTTGTTCGATTGTTCATCTATTACAGCACATAATTTTCATACCTCAGAAAAATATCGTAGTAAACTTCATTATTGTCTAGGAATTTGTATAGTATTGAATACTCCGTATTAAATAGGATACAAGATTGAATACGTTAGAATATGGTTGTAAATTAAACAGTTGAGATGATTATAAAGTTAGGAGTATACAGGATTTAATTTTAATCATTTAAAAAAAGTGTAAAGGATTAAGTTAAAACAAGGACAAAATTGGAATATAATTTTTTTTTTAAAAATAACTTATTCTGCATTTAGGTAAAATTGTCCTGCATTTAGTACTCCCCTTAGTAAAATACAGATTATTAGTAAGAATTCTTGTGTATATAATCTAAGGATCAGTTATATTAGTTTATGAGAGAATAATTTTTTAGCAAGTACGTACGGAATCGATTAGAGATTATTGTTTAATTTGATTGATGTGAGTATTTTAATTTTAAGTTGAAGCATTTATCATCTATCCCTTATGAAGTTGAATTTCCATGTTCTTCACCCAAACAATATAATTTAATTCATGTGAATTGAAGTGAAGATTTATAAAGTAAAATATGTTGACGAAAATGACGACTATAATAATATTTCTTGATTAAATTATGATGCACGGATTATATATAATAAGAATATAATGTTTGTTTATATGAAATTTTACGTTACATATTATGTACATGTATCTTGTATTGTTGTTAATACGTGTTTGGTTGTCACAAGATACAAGACTAACAAGAGGAATTAAAATGTTTATTTAGATCCTAACAAGCAAGTATAATAACTCCATATTAAAGATTAGAGTTTCATATGCTATATGGGTAATCTCTTTACTACTCAATGGTTGGGGGTTACATGCCCTAATCTCTTCC